CCTGCTCAGAGAGTCGGGGTGGCACCACCCCAAGGCTCAGCTGGCCCTGCCCAAGGTCACACGTTTGCTGGATGTCTGGCCAGACCAGGAGCATGGCTGTGAGCAGAGAACAGATGTCTCCTTGTGCTGGACTGGGGACTGACCCCACGTCCTTGGGCTAATTAGTCTGTCCTTGCTCAGACCCATGAGCCGGTGAGCTGGGGTGAGGCTAGGGGGTGCAGGGGAGAAGCTGCTCCCCTGTCAGGGTCCTTAGTCAGCCTGAGCTGCAGAGGACCAAGGAGTTCAAGGGGTGTGTGTGTGCGTGAAGGGGGTGTGTGACACAGTTGGAGTTTGGATATGATTCCAGGCAGGGAGGTCACAAAACTGACCCTCGCTGTCCAGGCATCACTAAAACATTAACTGCGGAGACAAGTGCATCAATTCTTCACCCAAAGAATACCACCCCCCAGTAGAGCAGTCCGTGAGAAGGGCAAGAAACAGAGAATCCAGGGCTCCCGTCCTGGATGGAACTCACGGCTACGTTCTCATTTAATCCTTTGTAGCAAATGGGTGAAGTAGGTAGCTGGTGTTTTCCCATCTCACAGGTGGGAAAACTGAGGCTCAGAGCAGTGCTGCAACTAACTATCCCAAGGGGAAAGAAAGAGCGGGCAGGGGAGCCGGTCTGTGTTTCTATCAGTAGCTACCCTGCCTCTGTGACAGCAGGTAGTTTCATTTCCTGCTTCCAGGTTGAAACTACGGGGGCTTTTTGGCTAAAGAGGGTCCAGACTTGCCTGAGAGGCGTAAAATGGGAGCAAGGCGCCGGCTGTCACCACCCCTACAGGGAGCGGAGACGGCAGGAGCAGGCACCGTTCTCACCGGGGCAGGCGGTGCCCCCTGGTGGTGGCAGGGAGGAAGGGCAGTGGGTGGAGACCACTGGAGAGTGGAGTCAGCCAGTCATGGGGTTCAGGTACAGAGGCCTGGGAAGCCAGGAGCAGGTTCCGCTGAGTCAGACTGCCCAGACAGGGGCGAGAGTGCATCACCATTCCTGGGGTGCATGGGGTGGCCTCACGCCTCTGGCTCAGGTCAGCCCAGCGCTCATCAGAGGTGACACGCCAGAAGCTGAATGACGTCACCAAACACCTGCCGCACTTCTTATCATTCAGACCCAGATCTGCACCCAAGTTCAGACTCCAGCGCCTACCCTACTGGCATGGTCTTGTTTACAGCTGAGGGCCTAGGACTTGGCTGATTTCGAGGTCAGTCTGGCAACCCACGGGGGCAACCTCCAGACTGGGTCACTGTGATTTTGGGGGTGGGAGGGCATCAGCAAGGTGCCCAAGGCCCAACCTCATAGGGACTCAGACATGGAAGACAGGACAGGGGCTGCAATGCAGTTGGGGGAGCACAGGGCGGGGCAAGGAATTTGCCCGGAGAGCACTGGGTGCTGAACTCCTCGGGCGGCTGGGTGCTTGCCACACAGCAGCGCCCTTTGAATGGGACTCTCAGGCTGGGACAAGGGGAGTCACCTGCCCAGTCTTCTCCTCTGTCCATCAGAGGCCCCTTCCCGGAGGCTGCGGGGAGCAGCTGGAGCAGGGATGCCTGAGTTCTATTTCCAGCATCGCACTGACTCACAGTGTGACCTTGCTGAGGTCATGGCTCTGTTTGCCTTGCTGGGGGAAGATCAGAGGTGCTGAAGCCTGCACTTCCCCAGACGCCCCTCCTGTGTGCGGGAGACCTGGAACAGGGTCACTCCTCACTCCCCACGCACCCCAGTCACGGGGTCTTGCTGATATGTTCAGGGGGAAATGCTTCCGCTGCCATCCAAGGGACTGTAAGCAAGAAGCAAGTAGTTCCTGCCACAGCCCCACTTCCGGCCACGTCTGCATGCAGGGCCTTCTCCAAACACTTTCACATCACGTTCCCCAGCCACCATGTCCCCAAACGGCCCTCGCGTCATCTGTGCAAGGGGAGAGGGAAGGGATTTTCTCCCCAGTTTTGAGGTGAGGTGATGGAGACGAGCAGCGGGTATTTCTCATCACCAGGGGTTCCTTTCCTGAGCTCACAGCCCCACGGCCCCCTGCTTTGCAAGCCCTTGCTAAGTCCTTTGCATTGATTAAGTAGCAATTCATCTCTGTTTTCATTCATCACTGGTACCCACGATGCCAGTTTCTGCCCAGCACTGAAGTAGGGCTACTCCAGAGCTCACTGCCAAGAACTGCAGCAACAACTCTGGCTGAGCTCATAGGTGAAGGCCCAGTTCTCACCTGGATTCGTATTTTTTTGTTTTGTTTAACAAAGTTTATCTTCTTTGGGCCCAGAGTCCTCGGGCTGGGAAGCGCCTTTCTGGAGTCATCGAATGGCCCCTGAAAAGCACTGTGGCTGGTGGTGGGACCAGGGCCAGCGGCACGGGACTCCCAGGCCAGGATCCAGCCAGCCAGGCCCCAGCCAGGAGGGTACACACACACAGAGCCACCGTCTGCGTGCCTGTGGCAAGGAGTCCCCCTGCCCCAGCGTGGAGTGGGCACTGGAGCCTGGAAATGTGGAGGGGGCCCCATCACCTCAGCCTGCTCCTGGGGAGTCACAGGGCGGGGGCCTGCTTGCTCTGCCACCTGTCTGCGCTTTGTCTGCAGGCAGGTGGCACTCATAACACACCGTCACATGCCCACGCCAGGGAGTCAGACTTTGGCTCCAGCACCTGCCTCTTCAAGGGGCTGAGGCCCGAGTGGGGACTGAGCCCCTGAAGCTGAAGATGTCAGAAGTAAACTGAACCCTGGGAGATGGGGACACAGCCAGGGGGCTTGGGATGCCTGGCACAGTGGCCTGGAGGAGGAGGAAAGCGACCAGCCCCCTCCCCCTGCTTCCAAGCAGCCCCTGGGGTCGGTGCCCCCACCTCCCTCAGGCTCCTGCAGACACTTGTTCTCGGGTGGGCCCTTGGCCCTGCTCTAGAGGCTTGGGGTTTTGGTCCGCCGGAAAGCCCCCTGGTGGGGTGTATCTCTGGGAAAAGGCTTGGGGTTGAACCTCGGGGCTTCAGCATCCAAACTCCACCCATCCCCATGGGGCAGGGGTCTCGGGGTCAGGGGTGGGACAGGGCAGGCTCTCTGAGCCTGTGGGCTCCCTGGGTAGTTTCAGTCCTGTGGGAATGTACCAGTTTCCAGTACGTGGACCGAAATGGCCTTCAGCAGGACAATCTCTTGATACCTCTGTGGAGAACTCTCCTTAGAAAAGTTTCTAAGGGGCCCTCCCTGCTAGCACAGCCGGTTAAAGCACAGCACTGTGAAGCTATCCAGCCACTGCAGCAAGAGTTCGATCCCCAGCCAGGAAAGTGACCCACAGGACTCAGCAGACCTCTCCTGTCTCCCCGCTGCTCCCCTCCGCAGTGTGTTTCAGCAGATCTGCTGTTCTGCTCCCCACTCTGTCTCTGGTGAGTCCTCTCACCTCCCCCACCCTCGGCCTGCACCCCAGTTCGATATGCATAAATAAATAAATCTTTAAAAAAGAAAAAAAATATAGGGCCCTCCCTGGTGGCGCAGCGGGTTAAAGCACAGCACTGAGAAGCTAAAGCCACTGCAGCATGAGTTCAATTCCTGCCTGCCCTGGAGGTGACCACATGGTGCGGCAGACCTCTCCTGACCAGCCTGCTGCTCCCCTCAGCAGTGTACTTCGTCCATCTACCTGCTCTGCTCCCTGTTCTGTCTCTGGTGAAGCCTCTCGCCGCCCCTGAGCCTCTGGCCTGTACCCCAGCTCTGTATGCACAAATAAATAAATCTTTAAAAGAAAAAAAAATTTGGTGGTGATGTCGATTTTATTTCAATAAAAATTAAAAAAAAAAAGAAACATTTCTAAAGCAGGGCACAGGGGCGTCTGATGGTGAATGACAGTTGTTCTGTCAGAGTCTGAGACTCCACTGCAACCCTTGCTGGTGTTTCTTGACCCTGGGGGCCACCCGCAAAACTGCTGAAGTCCATGTTCCCATTTTACAGATGGGACAAGTGAGGTCCAGAGAGGGGGACAAGCTGGTTGAGAAGCCACCGGCTGAAGCCCAGCCCCTTGACGCAGGGCACGGGCTCTCTGCCCGCCCCTGGAGAGCAGCAGCCCAGGGCAGGGCTGCCAGCTCCACACAAGCCCGGGGCCAGCATGGAAAGTGCTGACCAGCCCTGGCCTTCCTTTGCCCACAGCAGGGGGGCCCTGGCAGCTGTTTGCCTCCCTGACCTGCCTGCTTCTCTGAGATGGATTAAGAGTGGGTGGGGCAGGGAGGGTGCAAGACCAGACACCCCCGGAGCTCCCGGGCTCCCCGGCCCCACGGGAGCCGCGCCCAGCCCCCAGACGAGCCAGCAGCCCCGGGGAGCGCCAGAGTGACCCGGTCGCCCTCCCTTTGGCAAGCGGGGTGGCACATGGGAGCGCGCTTCGCTCTGCACCAGCGGGTGGGCGCCGCCCCTGGCACGCCCTTGGAACCCGCTAGACTGGGGTGGGCGCTCGGGAGCGGAGTGTCCAGAACACTG